ATGAATGTGTGTGTGTGTGTGTGTGTGAGAGAGAGAGAGAGAGAGAGAGACAGAGACAGAGAGAGAGATTGAGATTCATTCTCTCTACAATCTTGTGGGTGATGCCTCTTTATACTAAACAGTAGACAGGAAGATAGATAAGGTGTGACCTCTGCACTCAGGAGTCACTGTAATATGAGCTCAAGGGATTCCCAGCAGTCACAGTTGATTGCTCTGGGAAAGGACTTACAGGACAAAATGGTGAGAATATGTGTCGTCTGTACATTTCTTGTGTCTGCGACCAAGTATCTGATGAGAATCAACTGAAGTGTGTATGTGTGTGTGTGTGTGTGTGTGTGTGTGTGTGTGTGAGTGAGTGTGTGTGTGTGGGGGGGCTTGCTTTGGCCTATGATTTGAGGGAACCAAGTTCAAGATGGCAGGTCAGGCATTGCAGCTAAGTGTGAGGCAGAGAGCAGAAAGGAAGTAGACCCGGCTCTGAAACTTCAAGCCTTGTCCCTGATCTAACTTTCCCTGAGGCTCTGCCTCCTAAAAGTTTTACAACCTTTCAAAACGTGCCGAGATGTGAATCCAACATCTTTTATAAATTAAGCTTAGACATGACCTACTTCTCAGTGTTATCTCAGCCCTAGGATGGTGACATGCCGGGAGAAGATACACGGGAGCTAGGGGCTGGAGAAGCAGCCACACGTGGGCATTCGTATCTTTTAACCTTTAAAAATATTATTTATTTGCTACTTGTGTGTGCACGTTGATGGGGAGGCATTGCATGCCACAGCCAGCATGTGCAAGTTATATGACAACTTTGTGAAGTTCTTCTCCCATCTTTATGTAGGTTTGGGGGATGAAATTCATGTCACCAGGCTTTTGTTCCAAGTGTCATCACCTGCTGTGCCATCTCACTAGGGCTGTCATTCACATCTTAGTTAATGTGACATTTTACAGTACACAACATATGTGATGGTGCACAGCAGCCTTGGCTGAAGTTCCAGACCATATGAAGTTAGAGGAATCAGCTCTTGGTACTCTCCCATACCTATTAGAAAATCATTTATTTGTTCATTTAGGCAACAACCATTTTCTAGGTACCTGGTCTGTATTGCATACCAGTAAAGTACTAGGTGACAGGGTCCTTCGGGTTTAGTTTTCTTTGTTCCTTCCCCCTTCTCCTTTCTTTCTGTACGGTTTTAGTCTGTAGCTCAGACTGGCCTCTACCTCGTGAGAATCCTCCTGCCTCAGGCTCCCAGACACATTGCATTATAGAAGTGAGCAGCCATTTTAGAAGGTCTGTCCCTTCTTTAGCATCTAAAATACTCTTGGTGGTCACATGTGCCTACAGATTTAATCAAGATATCATTTCTACCTTTTGTCCTTCTCTCTGTGTTCCTAATTTGTTAGAGATAGAACCATCAGCCTTGGCTAGGCTGAGCACACGCTAGACTACTTAGTTACAATTTCCAGTCTGTGGTTTTCTCAGGCAGGGTTTTGCCAGCTAGACAAATTCATAACTGTTGTGCCTCAACCTCCCAAGTGCTAGGATAATAGGTGTGTAACACCATACCCAATCTCAGCATTCTAATCATTGGTAAATCCAAGCTGATAGGATGCTTCTTCCAAGGAGTAGAATCGAGTATTTCGTAATCTCTTCACTAAGTGGCTAACAACAATGGGGGCTCACCAGTTAAGGGGGGCTGGCCCCCAGTGTGTTTCTTTCTGCTTAAACCTAGTCTTGTTGCCCCCCCCCCAGAAAAAAGTTCCTATTCCTCATCCAAAACGGGAAATAGTGACTCTACCTTCCCCTGAGCTTTCCTGTGAGAAAGTTAGAGGCGCCTTCAAAACATTCCCATTTGCTAGCTCTGCTGGGAATTGAATTGGTATGAAAGCTCAGAGACAAGAATGTAGGAAGGAAGAGTGATTTCATGATGACAGAGTGATACAATGGAACTGGAAATATATGGACGGTGGAGAGGAGGAAATAAAGCAGGGGAGAAAAGGATGTCCTGGGGGAGGGGCAGGAGAGGAGAACGCTTTAGGGATGAGCAATAGTGAGTGTAACAGTCTGGAAGGCTTGTTGAGGGCAGGTGGCTGAGGCAGAGGAGGGCAGGTAGTCTTTAGGAGAACTAGGCTCTTTCAGGATTCAAAGCCATTGACACTTTTTGAGAATAAGAGAGACATAAGCTAACCCATGTTTTAGGGTTGTGTTTCTCCTTTTCAGAGTGGCCTCCAGACTTCTATTGAGCTTTCACAGTAGCCCAGACTGGGGAATGAGCAGGAAGTAGGAAAATGGGAAGGTACAGACATTTCTGGGTGGGGGTTTCTTTAAAGATTTCATATAAGAGCTCAATGTATTTTCATCATATTCTACTTCCCATCCCTCTCTAAATCTTCCGGTGTCTCTGCCCATGTCCCTGTCTCAAATCTCCAGTCTATGATCTCTCATCTCCTGTAACACACACACACACAGTTCAGTTAATGTTGTGTGTGTGCACACGCGCGCACGAGTGTAGTGCTGATCACTTGGGTATGGGCAACCTTTCATATCCCTGAAAAAACCAACCCTCCCTCAGGAGGCCTTGACTTCCTGTCACTCTTCAACTAGACATGGGGCCTTATGAGTCCTCCCCCATCTATATTAACATTTTGACCGGTGTGGTTTTAGGCAAGCAGTCACAGTATTGAGAGTCTATGGAGACAATGTCCCTGTCAGGTCCAGGAGACATTATTTCACTGCAGTCCTCCATATCCTCTGACTCTTTACAATCTTTCTTCTGCATCTTCATGTTCTTTAGTGTTCTCTGAGTCTTGGGGTGCAGGTGCTATGTTACAGATGTCACATTTTGTAATAGGCACCCACAGTCACAAAATGCATAAATATATGCTTTGACTGGTCATGGCTCTCTGGAATAATGTTCAACTGAGGTTTTAGACAACCAAATCAGCAGAATTCACTAATGACTTGAATGCAGAGTGTGAAATTGACAAGGATCTGGAACAGGCAAGTCCTGCGAGGGTCAGGTTTTTCTGTTCATTCATAGTCATTTTCCTACTACCTAGACTCAATAAACTAGAGCCTGGCACATGACAACTAGTATTTCTTGAATGAATGAGAAGAGTGAATCAGTCTTGCCTTCCTGTCCTGAACTTCATAAACTATCAGTTAAAACACCTGCAGATAGACAAAATAGTGCTGAAGCAATTTCAACAATATGGCACTGAGGTTCTGTTCTTCTGTTCCCACAGGATGGGAACATCCCCACGCCTTGATGTCAGTGATAGAACTACAAAAAAGACTTGAAAATGGCGGGAGCAGAAGGGTACTTTCTTATAAAACATGCATTGTAAGCCAACAGCAAACACATAGAAGCATAGGATACCAGAGGCAGGTGAACAGCTCAGTAGCAGAACTTACAAGCCTCCTCAGCCTGCTGAAGCCCTAGGTCAAATCCCAGATCAAAACAAAACAACTTTTATAAAAACTTTCAAAACACTGGCAAGGCTTCGCTATTTCTGTATTCTTGAAACATAATCAGGAACATGAAAATATGCAAAGATTTCATGAGGGAAGATGAATTATGTACACATTTAAGACAGCCTAAGAAATACTCCATTTGGTCACATTCTGAATATGGTGCATTTTTATTAACAGGTCGTACCACATCTAATACAGTGTGTACAAGAGACCCAGGATTCACTCATTTCTAATCCTCCCGTACATCTTTGAGCTAACATCCCTGAGGACACAGGTACTGTCATTTTTCCTCTGTGGCGAGTTCCAGGCTAGACACCACTAGCTGCTTTATGCAGTTTTCAGGGAGTTGATTAATTAAAAGCCAATTCTCGAAGAACACATCTGGTGTAAGCATTTTCAGTTTCAGACACAGGTAATGGCTCTTGTCTTGTCCCAGTCTCTGGGGTCTTTTTGGCGCTAGTTTCTTTAGACTGTTGGATTGGCTCAGGACTTCTCATTCCCCATGGTGGTCTATGGCACCTGGTAGGCTGGTCTCCACACCGTTTTCTATATATTGGCTAGCACTAGTGACTGAGACTATACGAGTCTGGCCTCTCATAGGTGGGCAGATGGTCTTCAGTTCTCTCTGCTGGGCAATGTCAACAACTCCAAGTGTCCCAACAGAAGTCAAGAGTAGTCCTAGAACTCAGTTGTTAGGAGAGGATGGAGGTCTCTGTGGTGTGTGTGTGTGTGTGTGTGTGTGTGTGTGTGTGTGTGTGTGTGTGTGTGTGCACTGGTAGTGGGGTAAGTTCATGGAAGCTTAGTTTATAAAGCAAGCACAGTTTTTTTGTTTTTTTTTTGTTTTTTTTTGTTTTTTTTTTTTTTTTTAATGGCTATTTTGGGCTACAATGACAGGGGAACTGATGGTTCCTCAGGCCACCCACAGCAAGGCTACTGTCCCACACCGGTCTCTCGGGCTCAGAGGCAGCCTCCCACTCGCTCTGATAGTGCTGCACCCTTCGCCCCACTCCTCCCCTCCCCTCTCCAGCCTCCCAGGGTGGAAGTCTGAGTTCCAGGCCAGGCCAGGGCACAGCAGGAGCCTTCCTGCAGCAGCTAGGGGGTCAAAGGAGGCTTCACCCGGGCTCACGTGAAGTTTTCCCACCGGGTGCAGGTGGGGGTCCCTGCGCGTGCACGAGCCGGTGGGTGCATGGTGGGCGGTTTCCCCGCCCCCCACCCCACTCCGCTGCACAGCACCCTGCGGGGGAGCGCCCCCACCCCTTAGCCCGCGTGTCCCTTTAATGCGCGCGCTCGTCAAGGTCCCCGCGTCCCTCCCCTCCCGCCGCCGTCCAGCCTCGGTTTCCCACCTCCCTTTCCCTCTTCCTTAGCCCGCCGTGGCCCCCGGCAGCCCGGCCCGGGACTCAGCTGTCACTTTACTTTTGCGCGCGCACCTCACCGGACCCCGCGCGGGCACGCGCCGGCGGGGGCGGGGCGAAAGCGCGGCGCGGGCGCGCGGGCGCGACGCCGCGAGGCCGACGTGGGGCTCGCGCTGTCGCGGGCTCTCGGGGCGGGCAGGGCGAGCGCGCGCTTGGGAGGGGGCGCGCGCGGACGGCCGGGTGGCGGCGGCGGCGGCGGCGGCGGCTCGCGGAGGCGGCGGCTTCACTCCGGGACTCGGCGTCGGAGCCGCGGCTGGAGCGCGGGTGGCGCCGCGAGGTGAGTGGGCGCGGGCGGGCGGGCGTGGCCGCGGCCTGAGCCGCGGCGTGGGGGCGCGCGGGGACCCCACGCGGCGAGGGGCAGCCCGGCGAGATCCCCGCCCCCGCCGCGGCCTCGGCTCGGGCTCGCGCCCGCGGCCCCGCAGGCCTCCCTGGCCCTGCGCGTGCCCGCCGGGGCCCGCGCGCCCCTCCCCCCCTCCCGCAGAGTGTGGCCCTCCTCCGCCCTCGAGGACCCCTCCCCTCCCCTCCCCGCCCGCGCCCGCCGCAGCCGGGAACTAAGTCTCCGCAAAGTCCAGGATGGATGTCGCGGTGCAAAGTGCCCGGCTGTCCCGAGCTCTTCCCTAATTGCATAATTGCTGCACGAGGTGTCCGTGCGGGCGAGGGCCCGCCCGGGAGCACCGGCTGGGTGTGTGCGTGATGCCCCGGGGTGGGGGGCGTCGCACTGGTCTTTTGTAATGCCTGGTGCTTGGCACAGTTTGGCTCCGGAGCCGGTTTTCCTCTGGCTTTTCTGCAGCCCCCACTGGCCTGATTGGAAACTGGATTTCCCCCCCATTCCCCCCACCCCCCATCCCCTCTTGGCTCCTAATGTTTTGATCCATTTACCCTTTTCCAATTCTAATGAACATAAAACCTGGCTTCTTGGTGGCTCTTTTCCCACGACTAACCAGAAATGCCCAATCCATCTTCCCTAAAGGAAATTAAGGCCGCATTAGAGACATCATCACCCTGGGCTCGGTGGCTCTTGGACCCATTTGCTGGTTTGCAGGACTCTGATACCAGCACCACTGTATTGTGTCTGCGCAAGTATTTCCATTGCAAAGTACAAAAGGGTGTGCTAGGACTTACCTCTGATTACCTTACTGTTCAGAAAGATTTTTAAAAGCTCGTCTTAGTTTTAAATCCTAGGATGTTTGAAAAGCACGCTCTGGAAATGTGATAATCGAATCTGAATCTTGGGAATCCAAATATTTGTCTTTACTCAGGCAGTTGGGATGCTCCTGGGTGCTTTGCCGTTTCATATGTGGGCGATGATGAAGATGGAGTGTTTTCATATGTCATACCTTGAGATGTTTCCCCTAGGGAACAGCTCACTTCCCCCCAATCAGGTGCTCCTCTGTTGTTTTCTCCATAAATATCTTTTCAGTCATTTGAAAAGCTTGGTAGTGCTACATGTTTGGCATGTAATATAAAATATTTCTCATTTTGGGAAAGTTTAGAAATCCCAAATAGAAAAACTACAAGACACCGATGACAAGTTTTTTCAAGTTATTTTTTAAAAATAATATTTGATGAATAGTAATGTGGACTTGACTGTTGTTGGTTTTATCAATGGGATTTACAGACAGATTCTTTTGTTTTTATGAAGCAGGTGAATCTCACTCACTATGCTGGTAATTTACAGAGTCTAATCACAACATAGAGTAATATCGAAGAAAGCTTAGAAAATTAAGTGTGTGTAAATTCTCAATTGCAATGTGTTTTTGGAAAATCCACCATATTATTTTATGTTTAGTTAGGGACTAAGGTTCACTTTGAATCTGAAATAAAAATACTACTTTAGGAATCTTAAGATCTTTGAAACTGTTATTAGATGTATTTGTGTGTAGAGCCCTGGAATTGAGCTTTCTTTAGGTTAGGTAATTGTATGGAATTAGCTCTTTAGGAATTAATTTTAGTGTCTGTAAAGATAATATTTAAAAGTTTTTATTCAGGAACTTACTCATTTATACTTTAGAGAGAAAGTCACCAATTTTATACATATAGTTAATTGAAATGATCTACAGAGTATTATCTTTCATAAATTTAATTGTGCCTGAGTGTCCAGTCACTTTGTTCCATATCTTTTTCAGGAAACACTCAGCAGACAATCCTTATATTCTTGGCATTTGAAAAGGTGATGCAAAACTTTATTTCTAAATGATTTAATAAGGATTACCAGTGGTCTCAGGTGGATTTGTCAGTTGTAGGTCAAGTTTTGGCTGAAATAGGTATCTTAGATCGAAAGTGGATTTTTTTTTTTTTTTGTGGTAAAGCTATAGAAATTATGCTTCTATTTCGGCAGTGTTTTGGATTGAACCCAGACCTTCACATATATGCTGGGCAAGTGGGCAAGTGCTCTACCACTGAGCCACACAACCGCCCCCCCAGCCTTTCATTAGTAGTTTTAGTAGCTTAATCTTCTGGTATTGTGTAGTAGTTTTTGATATTTCAGTCTAAGATTATGGCATTTTACATCATTGAGTAGTCTATTCAGTAGTTATATAGTTGACACATTATTAGGTGTATACAGATGTACATAAAGAATACTGAGCCGAGTGTGTGGTTTTATGACTGACTCAGTACGCAGCTGTGACTTGGCTCCTGTATTGTTTGCCATGTGATAGATTGTCTCAGGTTTAGGATACATAAAACAAATTTTCACTGATTTTATGTCTCTTAAAAAATTTCCAACAGCATCTTGCCCCAAGCGGATCTAACCCTAAGACTGCTTCTTTCTTTTTCTTTCCCAGTACACCTGCTCTATCGAGCATGCTATAGTGTACAAACCTACAAGGTTTTTTGTTTTTTTTTTTAACTTTTTGTAGATTTGGACTCAGGCTTAAAGTCAAATAAAATAATGGAAGAAAAACCAAGAAATATACTCAGACTTTTAGAGCTAGATGTGAAACATACTGACATAAAATTTCAGTATTCTATTAAGTGACTTTATTGCTCATAAAAGATGTCATAGCCATGGAGAATGATGGTCACCATTTACAGAAGGTAAGAGAGCAGTCCAATTTTCCTGTGTTTGAGAGCTGTTTGGACAAAGGAACTGCTAGGGCTGAGGGTGGTGATGTTATGTGTGGTGCCTTTTGATGCATCATCTCTGTGCTTCTGATTCTTCCTGTCCTTTGCTATGCATATTTATTTGCCCTATAAAACTTTCAGTCTGCTAAAGGCTTGTGTTAAAAAGTCACCATGGCTTTGAGCAAACTGTAGGTTAAACTGATGATGATGAATGTTGATCAGTTATTGGGTCATGCCTTTGGACTAGGTAATGATAGTAGCAAATTGTGTTTTAAGTGAGGTGTTGTTTTTCTATGCACTGAAGCATACTCTTGACCATATCAGGAACAGTTTTATTTCAGAGTCTAAATTTAATAGTAACCAAAAAGGGAATTTAGATTAATCTCTCTCTCTCTCTCTCTCTCTCTCTCTCTCTCTCTCTCTCTCTCTCTCTGTGTGTGTGTGTGTGTGTGTGTGTGTGTGTGTGTGTGTATGATGATGGTGGTGGTGGTTATAATGGTGTGACAATAGTCACAGGCAGTCTCATTTTTCAAAGACATGTCTGAGCTCTAGCTATATGATACTCAGAGTGGTTACTGGTGGCTTGAGGCCCTGTAGAGTCTGGGCATGGGTCTGTCATTTTGCTGGGTCAGACAGGATGATAGTAAGGATCAAACTGGGATGATTATGATGGAATGCGATTGGAGAAGGGATATCCTCTTCATTCAGTGCATTTTTATGTCTGCTATCTAGGTTATAACAGCTACCTAGGTATCAAGGTATTGAGGAAATTGAGTTGGTAATCGGAGCTGCTCCAGGAGCATGAACCCAGAGCAAAGTGAATTTCCAACCTCGAGGGCCATTTCCTCCAGTCTGGGGAGGAAAAAAAAAAAAAAAATGAACCCATCAGTGTCTCAGTATAGCCTCTATCTCTTGTGAAACATGGTTGCTTAGTGGAGCTGGGTCACTGCCCACACGCTCCTAAGCCTCAGTTCTTGTTTGGAATCACGTGGCCTCTGCTCCGTTATCACAAAGGTTACTTAAAACAATTTCCCAGCTTAGAGGATTTTAACCTTGGCTCAGCTCTGAGGATGTATTGATTGGATGCTAGCGTGGCAGTGCCCCTGTTTCTCAGCCCTGGGCTTTTTTGTGATGACTTGCCAGGACACTTTGCAGGTCTGCTTACCTGTCTAGACTTCTCATAGCTGAGCATAGAGTGCTTAGCCCAATGCCTGTAAAACTGAGGCTCTCAGTCTTCTTCTCTCTTTCTCTTGTTTTAAAAGATTTATTTATTTTTATTTTCTGTGTATGATTGTTCCATTTGCATGTATGTCTGTCCACCACATATTTGCCTGGTGTCCAGGGAGGTCAGAGAGGGTGTCATATCCCCTGGAGCTGGAGTTACAGCCCATCGTGAGCCACCTTGTAGGAGCTGGGAATGGAGCCCAAGCTCTGTGCCAGAGCAGCCCGTGGTCTTAACTGCTGAGCCATCTCTCCAGCCTCTTCTGGTTTGTCTTATGCCGGTTCATTTGAGATGTACTTCACCTTAAAAAGTTAGCCCCCTCCACTTTTGAACTCTTCTGAACATGCACTCTGCCCAAACTGTGCCTCCACCATCTTAAAATGTACATCTTAGCCTGCTGTAGGTAGCTCAGTGGTAGAACATTTGCCTAGCAGGGGAGGACCCTGGATTCAGTTCTCAGCAGAAACAAAGCAGAGCAATGCTGAGGCTTTTCTGCTCTGACCTCCACTTAAGAACATTATTATAACTCACAGGAAACTTTCTGCTCTGTAAAAGTCACTTCCTTTTACTCTGTCTCTGTGTCCCCATGGATTTACCTGTCTGGACGTTTCTTACAGATGAGCTTGTGCAGTCTGTGGTACTTCTGGCTGGACTGGGTTCTCTGACGTGATGTAAAGATTCAGGGTCTTCCTGCTGAAACATGCAGACACTGGACTTTGTTCCTTTTTGTGGCTGAGGTATATTGTCATGTGGATGAACCACATTTTACCCATTAGGTGGAGAACATTTGAATTGTTTCTAGTTTTTGTCTGGTGAATAAAATTACTACCAATATCTGTGTCTAAATTTTACATGAATTCGTAGAAGAAAAGCTTTGTTTTGTAAATAGGCAACTCCCATTTTTATACCTAATTTTACTTCTTTAGTTTCTTAGGCTCATTTTTCTGTCCATTCTTGATGTACCTTATTGTAGTCCTGATCACAGCAAACTAAATAATGTTTCATCCTTTAATACAGGATCTAAAATGTCCACTGAGGCACAGAGAGTTGATGACAGTCCAAGCACTAGCGGAGGAAGTTCGGATGGAGATCAACGGGAGAGTGTTCAGCAAGAACCGGAGCGAGAGCAAGTTCAGCCCAAGAAAAAGGAAGGGAAGCTCTCTAGCAAGACAGCTGCCAAACTGTCCACCAGTGCCAAAAGGTATCCAGCTGCTGGCAGCTTTGGATTTGCTTTCAAGTTATCATCTTAAACTCACATTTTCCCTTGTATTTAGTCATTTTTCCGGGATGAAGGTCATAGAGTTTACAGATTCTCCCCTTAATGTATTTAGTCATTTCCGGGATGAAGGTCATAGAGTTTACAGATTCTCCCCTTAATATAATTTTTAAAATGTGTTTTTAATTGTGAAAAACTTTTAAAAGCTGATTTAGAGTCATGGCATATTATAAAATCTGTACTTGTAGTGCATTGATATATTTCTGTCTTGTTAGAAAAACATGAGCAGGACATTATAAAAGTATAATTTGATTTATGGTTACTTGATCATGAATATACTTTTTTTGTTCAGTAACACAGAATCTCTTGACTAGGGCTGGGAGTGGAGGAATGGCTCAGTGGGCAAAATGCTTGCTGCTGAGTCTGGATTAATATCATCCATATGAAAACTGGGCAAGGTGGGGCACATCTATAACCACAGTGCTCTGAGTGTGTGTGTGGAGGGGGTAGAGGTGGGGAAGAAGAGTGGAGGGAGTGTGTGTGTGTGTGTGTGTGTGTGTGTGTGTGTGTGTGTGTGTGTGTGAGACACAGTTGGAACCTTGTAACTCACTGGCCATTATGTCTTTTCCACAGTGAGCTCCAGGTTTAGAGATCTTATTTCAACAACAAAAAACAAACCAGGATGAACAGGGAGTGAGTGACAGGGGAAATAACTGATATTGAACTCTGGCTTATACATTTGTACACTCCCCCCTCTCTCTCTCTCTCATACACACACACATACTCTCTCACTCACACACTCACACACATTCTCACACACACACTCATGCACATACACACGTCTCTCACACTCATGTACACACACGTACACACACTCTCACACAAACGCACACTCTCACACACACTCTCACTCACATACACACACACTCACACATTCTCTCACACACACACTCACATCGTCTCTCACACTCATGTACACACACACATACTCTCACACAAATGCACACACATACTCTCACATACACACACACATTCTTACACACACTGAGGCACACACACATTGTCACTTTCACACTCATGTATACAACACACTCACACACACAAACACACACACATACTCTCACACACATTCTCATACACACACTGAGGCACACACACACATTGTCTCTCTCACACTCATGTACACATACACACACATACATATCTCTTGAAGCAATTATTGACTGATGATTTAGTCTTTAACCTTCCCAGTTGGTAAAGTCAGAAATGCTAGTGTTAATGCATCTTGATTTCATCACATTAGGTGGGGGTTGGTCTTGATGCAGGTTTCCGCTCTCTCCAGAGAATGGATAGGTCTGTAAAGGAGGTACTTGGATGATGCTCTATCACCACTTCAACCCCTCACAGTGATTGGCATGTTGGGCTTAGAGAGAATCTGTTTTGATAGCATTATAATATAGCCTGGTTCTTGGAAGAAAATTTGAAAGGCAGATTACATTCAGTGGACTCATGCTTGCTTGTGGTTTTATGCTCTTTAATACCTTTTGAAAGAATGCAAATGGCAAATAGGAAATGTAGGTGTTAATTTAACTTTCTTCTCACACATGTAACTTCAGGTACAGGGAACTCTTTGTTGAATGATGGCTTTATAAGCCTTTGGAAGGTATGAATTAGGGAACTTCTTTCCTAAAAACTGAAGACTGTATGTCCTTCTAACTGAGTTCTATCCATAGGCCTGTGATGAACCTTTGTAGATCCTCTGGTCAGAGCAGTGGTGACTGGTCAGTAAGACATTCAAACTAACTAAGTGCAGTGCATCCAACTTTGATATGTTGTGACGATGTGATCTACAAATGTTTTGGGCCACGGTCATAGCAGGCAGCCTATGCATTCCTGCCAGGATCTCTGACCATTGTTGAGAGAATTATATAAAGTCAGATAGCTTGAGATATTTACCAGTTTAAATTAGAACATGCTGGGGTAGGAAATGTTTTCCTGTTATACTATGTGTCCAAGGGGACTTAGCAGGGTAACTCTCCCCTCCTAAGGTTCAGTTTAGACACCTGCTCCTGCCAAGTGGGACTAGGGTAGAGAGGATAAGGAAGGTCAGGAGTGGAGAAATGTAACATTTGGGTAAAACCTGGGTTGGGGAGGATGGGTAAGACTGTCCAAATCCAGACCTTATGCAGTTCCATCTAGGAACTCTTATCCTGCCCTGAGCTGCTGACACTGGCGTTTTTAGGGCTGCTTCAGGCAGGGGAGAGAGGACTAGGCAGGTCTTCTGGGAGTAATCCTGCTTGTCTGTCTGCACTCCCTATGACTGTTAATCACCAGAGATCTCGTTTCTGTATTGGGGAGCATCCCTACCAAAAAAAAAAATCCTCAAGACAAAGTCTGCCTTTGAAGGAAGGTGTGCAGCTTAATGTACCTTTTCATTCACTTTACTACAGTATTTTAGAAAGCACACCCTAATGAATAAATTATGGGAGAAAGACCCCCCCCTTTTTTTTTTTTTTTTTTTTTTTTTTTTTTTGGTTTTTGAGACAGGGTTTCTCTGTGTAAAGCTGGCTGTCTGGAATTGGCTTCGTAGAACAGGCTGGTCTCAAACTCTGAGGCCTCGCTAGTGCTGGGATTAAAGGCATGTGTGAAAGACCCTCTTTAAATAGGGGATAAAACTGACTTTAGGGATGGTTTTCTGTGCCTGGTCCTGGTTGACGCCCAAGAGGAAAAACTGCTAATATTGCTCCAGTAAAAGGCATCTTTTATCTGCTTCCTAGAGAAAACAGTCTCTTCACTGGCAAAATCATTGAATTTGTGATTGATGAATTGTCTGCATAATGTCCCCGGATGAGTTACAGGTGGCAGTATGTGAAGCCATTTCCTGTTAGTTTTACAGGTAAAAATGCTGCTTGGTTGCTAAATTGTGGGAAAGCTGAGGATCATGGAAAAGAAGTGGCCACCTTCATTCACACCCATGCACTGGCTCTGTGCCTTGCAAGCTAGCTCTCTCGTTTGTTGCTGTCTTAAAGCTCTGAGCTTATTTCAGGAATGGGGTTTCAGTTAGGACCTAAAACAACATTTTAATTTGTATTTTTAAAAATTAAGAATCAATATTTAGATGACAAGTCTTCCTGAACACTGCCATTCTACAAGATACACAGTTGCAGTAAAAGCTTGTGTTCAAGAGACAAGGTCTGCCTGGAGCCCAGGTTCTAACACTTAACAGCTCTGTGACTTAGTGTCTCTATCTAGTCACACTTTCCTCTTGTTTCAGGGTGGGGATGTGCTTGACAGAAACTCAGACTGTGTAGGCCAGGCTGACTGGGAACTAAGTATAAAGCTCATCTGGCCTTGAATTTGAGATCCTCCTGCCCAGTGTCCCAAGGGCTGGGATTACAGGCATACTACCATGCCCAGCTCACTCAGTTTTCTCTTTTCCAAAATGAGGATAACCGTGCCCTCCAGAGAGAGTGGTCATGAGCTTGTATTTTTGCTTATAGGAAGCTCTTGAGGATGGATGTTGTTAGTCACTGTCTGTGAGGATAGCTTTCAGTTCCATTTGGTGCAGACCTTGACTCAGTGAAGCTGTTGTTAATCTCCAGGCTTAGTGTTGTTATTCTAGTGCTACTCGGATGTTGTAATTAACCTGTTTTGTAGCAACTCAGGTGAAGTGCTTTTCACTTAGGGCTCAATTACTACATGAATTGTAATGCTAGAATTTTAAGATTAATAATTACTGTAACAAATCTACTATAATTGTAGAATTAATGGGTTGTAGAAACGTTTCTTTAAAGTATCTTATTCTTGATGTATCACAAAACAGTGTTCTGTACATTTAAGAACTGAAACAGAAGCACAAACTTTTGCCTTTTTTAGTCAAGAAGGAAGGTTACATCTGTGACACATTCCTCTTTGAAAACAGTTTTATATTTAAGACTGGCATGTTCCTACCACAGTTGGTTCTCTTGAAGTGTCTATGCTGCTCTGTGATATTTGCAAATATGTAGTTGGACAGTTATATGATGTCTGAAGTGACAAATATATACAATTTTGATTAAATTACTAGTCAGTTCCATAAAACATCTCTTTTGAGATTCTCACTGAATTGACTCTGCCTCTTTCACACTGGTATTTCAATAAATATGAATTTTAAATCAGATTTATTTCAAATTAGTTTTTCTGAGAGCTGACATCGTAATGTTATTGGACGTTCACTGTAGTGCTATTCTAGAAGGAGTATTTGGTTTTCAACTTTGTGTTTTTGTTACGCTGACAGGTGGATTTCAGTATGTCCCAGTGTCATCTTTTGTTCTCTGCTGGGCTCATCAAAGTTTGCTTGTAATGCTGTTTTCTTGACATGTGCATTTTAAAGCTTTTATATGTTTTGCGGTTGGCAGGTATTTTACAGTTGATGCACACAATTAATGATGTGTCCTAAGTCGGTGGTCACTTAAAAATGACAGGTCCATGGTACTTATCAGCATCCAGAATTAAATTATAGGCTTATGTGCAGTGGCAGTTGTTTTTTTTTTTTCTTCTAGAGACTGTTTTGTCGTTAAAAATATGAAAATAAAATTAGTGTGATGCTCTCTTGAGAATAAGCTGTCTGCGGCAGGAAATGCTCAGCCATTTAGGAGTGCTGGTGTGTCTTAAGGCATGCCATCTGTTGGGGAGGAGAGAAGTCTAGATGTGATGACTGAGAGGTGGCTTGGCAGGTAAAGGAATCTACTGCTCTCCTGAGGTTCCCAGCCCCAGTCTCAGCACAGTATCAGGCAGCTTACAACCACCTGTAACTGCAGCGGCAGGAGATCTGATGCCTTCATCTGGCCTCCTTGGGAGTCTGCACACACATGGCTTACACGTATATGGACACACACAGAAATAAAAATTAAAGGAAAAAAAAAAAAGATGAAAGAGGTCCAGCATTGGTAGGCAGAGGCAGGTGGATGGGTCTCTGCAAGTTCAAGGCCAGCTGGGCCTACACA